GTGCTCTACAGGTGTCTCCAAAGGTACTTGTTGGGTTGGCGTATTTCGAGATTAGGATTTGTCACTCCGATTGTCGGAGAGGTATCTCTGGGCCCACTCGGTAATGCACATCACTATAAGCCTTGCAAGCATTGCAACTAATGAGTTAGTTGCGGGATGATGTATTACAGAACGAGTAAAGAGACTTGCCGGTAACGAGATTGAACTAGGTATTGAGATACCGACGATCGAATCTCAGGCAAGTAACATACCGATGACAAAGGGAACAACATATGTTGTTATGCAGTTTGACCGATAAAGATCTTCATAGAATATGTGGGAGCCAATATGAGCATCCAGGTTCCGCTATTGGTTATTGACCGGAGATGTGTCTCGGTCATGTCTACATAGTTCTCGAACCTGTAGGGTCATCACGCTTAAAGTTCGATGACGGTTATATTATGAATTTATGAGTTTTGATGTACCTAAGGTTGTTCGGAGTCCCGGATGTGATCATGGACATGACGAGGAGTCTCAAAATGGTCGAGACATGAAGATTGATATATTGGACGACTATATTCGGACACCGGAATGGTTTCGGGGGTTATCGGATATTTGTCGGAGTACCGGGGGTTACCGGACCCCCCCCCTTGAAGCTATTGGGCCTTATGGGCCTTAGTGGAAAGGAGAGAGGGAGGCCAAGATGTGGCGCGCGGCCCCCTTGCCCCAATCCGATTTGGGAAAGGGAAGGGGGCGGCGACCCCCCTTCTCCTTCCTTCTCTCCACCTCCTCCTTCCCCCTTCTCCAAGTTGGAATAGGAAAGGGGGGGCCAAACCTACTTAGAGTAGGATTGCCCCCCCCCCTTGGGCGTGCCTCTCCCCTTGGCCGGCCCTCTCCTCCCCCCTCCCTTTATATATGGAGGATGGGGCACCCCATAGACACAACAATTGATCTCTTGATCTCTTAGCCATGTGCGGTGCCCCCCTCCACCGTAATCCACCTCGATAATATCATAGCGATGCTTAGGCGAAGCCATGCGTCGGTAGAACATCATCATCGTCACCACGCCGTCGTGCTGACGGAACTCTCCCTCAAAGCTCGGCTAGATCGGAGTTCGAGGGACGTCATCGAGTTGAACGTGTGCAGAACTCGGAGGTGTCGTGCGTTCGGTACCTGATCGATCGGATCGTGAAGACGTACGACTACATCAACCGCGTTGTGCTAATGCTTCCGCTTTCGGTCTACGAGGGTACGTGGACAACACTCTCCCCTGTCGTTGCTATGCATCACCATGATCTTGCGTGTGCGTAGGAAATTTTTTGAAATTACTACGTTCGCCAACATCATCTTGCACCCGGCAACATGACCGACCTCGTCTCATGCACGGCAGAAGGACCGACCTCGTCTCGCGCCCGGTGCCTCGGATGGGTCGATGGAGGCCAGTTTTGGCCGACCTATTGGGTTTTGGCGTTGGGGGTTTCCCAGGGATGGGAAAGGCGGGCCCTTTCCGCCCGTATCTTTGGTTGGGGTTGCAGTGGGTTTCGAGCGAGGAGGTATCAAGGTCTGGGATGCCAGGGCGGCGGCCCTGGTGGTGGTTCCGCGGTGCTCATGGGCGGAGCCCGTGGTTAGGTGCTGCCCGATGGCCATGGTCGTGTGGACGGCATGGTCGCTGGGGTGTGGCGTCCTGTGGTGGTGAGTGTTGGCCGGTATGAAAACCTGATCTATCTTCGGACGAACCGGTGGTGGTGAAGCTCGTTCCCTTCTTGAAGGCGTTGTCGCGGCTCTCATTGCCCGTTGTGTTGCTCCTGGGGAAACTCTGATCCCCGGGTCGGGCAGTGGCGACGCTCTAGTGTCGTAACCTTCCTGAAAGCGCCACCTTGGAGCACATGATTCGTCATATGCGGCTTCATCTCTTCGCGGTGGCATGCTCACGGTTGAGAACTCCGGTTGCTCTTGTACTACTAGGGTAGTGTTGCTGCGCTCAGTGTCTTTGTATCCTGCCTTGGATGTGTGCGTGTGTTGTGGTGGAGTGCATTTGTATCTGAGTTGTGATCGGTCGGTGCTTTATATATAGAACGGGGCGAAAACCTTTTTGGTAAGTCCTGCAGACGGGGATAAACCAATGCATATGGTTCTTAGGCACGTTGTGTTTTCCCTTCGCATCCATGTTTTTTTCAGAGATATAAACTTTTAGTGCCCATGTCGATCTGATAGTGCAACACTTGGTTTTTTGTGTGAGCTATGGACCTTGCTGATTTGAGAAATGTTCAAGCAAGATTGGTGATCCTACGCACAAGTTCCATGCCTTCCTCTCTACTTGTTGGCGCTGATTAAGGACCTACAAGGTGCAGCTCAATAGTTGGTTGTAAAGGATCTCCTTCATGGGACTATGATGTATGCAGTGGACGCGGCTATTCTGCACCGGTTTGAACATTAAAATTGTTTTAAATAGAAAAAAATCAAAACAAAATTGTGATGGAAGATGCTAATGTGCATGATGCCAGTGCAAATTTTGGTGATGTTTTTTTCCTTTTTTGCCACGAGCTCCTCGAAAATCCAAACACCCCAAAATTTTGGACGAACATCTCACATTGAGCATCTAGCATCACAAAAAAATGATTTTTTTTGAATTTTCCTGCTGTTTTATTTTATTTTATTGTTCAATGGGTGTAGATGAGCCCGGCCACCGAATTGAATTATCCGTATGTAATGTCCTTTTTCTTCTTCACATAATTAGCACACTATATCACCATTGATCTAAGCTTTGTTTCTAGTAGAAGAAAGAAGACTGGAAGTGGATGAAGGTCATATTTGTTACAGCGGGAAACAAAATAAGGTATGGTAATATAAATGACACCAACAGGTTCCGGATGAATTGCAATAGAGGGCAGATCAACCACCGGGCACCACGTTGAAATGAACAATGCCATATTCCGTTATCATATATAGACAACTTGAGGGAAAATCTGAAGCGTTCCCTTCCAAGTTTCATGTATTATTGTGTAACAAAGGGTGGAAGCAAAGTAAACACCATCAATTTCAGTTATAACGTTTCAACCAACAGTATACACCTCCAGAGTATGGAAAATGAAGTATGCCAAATGCACAGACATAAAGATGGATGCATGGGCACTCTGTTTATTTTTTACAGGAATATAATGAAACATAGAACATGAGATGAATAATGTGTGAAATATATTAATAATAGCATGTATTTTCCCAAAGGATAATATAACAAAGCGACAGCTGAGGCGCACCAATTCTAACATAGCTGCAGCATTTCATGGCAATACCAATTGGGCTGTCTCTTTGCAACTGATCCTGTTTAGAACTACAGATGTTCGTGCGAGTAATTTTCCACTGCTTAGGAATAGGAGTAGGTTTGATTATCGTACTAGTCTGAAAATCTTCATTTCCTTAATAACTGAAAAGAACATAGAAATGCTTCTTGAAATAGAAGTATATAGATAGATAAGGACTTTTAAGCACAAAAACTGTCAATTTCTCAGTAAATAGAAGTAATAAACATCAATCCCATTATTCTGAAACCTAATTTTAAGAGCAATCCACACATGAAGGAAGCAAAGAGTAATCCCACAATTCAAAGTAGCACCAATAGAAACTGGGATAGTTAGTCCTGAAGTGCAACAGTAATTTCTGAAGCGAATTGAGACTGTCATAATATCTCAGAAACCTGCATTGCAAATATTTTCAGTTTAGATCACAATAGCTCACTGTATTACTAGCAAAACAGATTTTAAGTCTTAAGAAAGAGTTAATTTACATGTATTGGCATCTCTGCAATGACGAATCCACTGGTTTCTTCTAGAGACCTTAGAAGAGCTACCTCACCACCAACCACCATATTAATCACGATTCCATCTGCACAATCATAGTACATTAACTACATCAGAACTTCCTAAAGGCGGATCAATTGATATTTTTTAAAGTTACCTGTTGCCAAGCATGCTGATACACGTCTTAAGTAAGCCTCCTGAAAAATTTCAGACACAAACATCAGGTAAGCCAAAATGATCTACAAATTAGAACTAATGGTGCACAATGAAACATCCTGAATGCATGATAGAACTGAAAGGTAAAATTTATCATAAACAGCTAAGGGTATTTGGGCCACAGAAGTCCTGAAGGTAAAATATCATGCAAAATTAGGACCGCTCACCTTCTTTGTAGGCAATTCATAGTTTATCAGCACACGAGACATAAGGGGAGCCTCTCCCATCGCCGCCGAAGGCAAGCAAGCATCTGTTACAACTGTAATATTTAGCTTCAAGACCACACTTTCAGGCTTGGGACTTCCATCAATAGAAGTATCTTCAATCTGATTTCGCTGTATTGCTGCCCGACGGGATTTCTCAAGGACAGATGCACGCTCAGCTTCATCTTGATCGCTGTACTGTGTACACAAATCCACAGATTGATATTATTAACTAGCAAAACTAGTTCATAGCAAGGACCATAAACAATCAAGAAAACCTGAAACAACGTTCATATCACTATAGCCTGGGACCATTGGATGCAGAAAAATATCTGCAATTGCACAATCATAATTCCTAGATGAAGGTGTCAATATTATCAATGTTTTCTCTTGAAGGATTAAGCAATTAACAGTGCAAATTGTGTATATCATACACTTGGCTATCCCACAATTGTCAATGATGCAACCACAAAGTATATCACAGAACTGAACATGGAAATTCATACCCAACCAACTTGAGCATACCAGCGGTGATAAGGATACAAAGGGGAGGTTGGCAACAGCAGCACAGACAGCATCTAGCTCATCCCGGGATGAAACACATATGGCAATGGGTACCGAGCCGTGGCGGTCAGAGACAACACCTAGGAGCTCCAGTAGTGTCCTCTGCACACCGAAAACAATCACAGGTTCACAAGAACAAAAATCTGGTTCAATGCGCACGATCTGTGGCTGCTTAATTGGTCATAGTTATGATCCAAGAGAAACCCAAAAATGCACGGTAACAGGGATGGCAGACACGCACCATCTTGAACTGGAGGCGGTCAACGGCGAGGTAGAAATGGCGCCCGGAGCTGGGGATGTTAAAGAGGGTTCATAAGTAGGGCGGGATGCACATGTGGCAGAAAGATCAGGGCAGGGGATTATCACCTTGGGTGCGATAGGGTCATTGCCTGGGAGCTAGGAGACGTCATCACGTCCGGAGAGGAAATCGACGCAGCGGTGGTGGAATATTGCTCAGCAAAAAACAGCAGCGCAACTGTCTAACAGAGAACATAATCAGAAAATAGGGGGCTGTGACTCTAAGTTTTCTTGCTAAGCTTACTCTCGCAATGATCTCCAAGAAATAACTTAATAGAGGTGCATAGATGAATGATATGTATTAACCACATGGTACAGATAAGCTGAATGGAAGTGCATAGATTAGAATGATATATCGGAGAAATCGCATACAACAGAGAGAGCATATATAGCAGCAACATCAGCACGCCCACCCTCACGATGCGTAATTAATCCAAATGCTACTCTTATTTGTGGGGTTCTTTTCAAAGCCTGTACATCATCTATCCAACCAGCTAATAAATACTTGCTTTGATGCATACGTGGTGACCGAACCAAAGCAAACAAAACAGGCGCAGAGCCGTGCCATGGCAATGCAGATGCAGAGCACACAAACACAAATCGAACAGCCATAGAAATCTAGCATGCAAAGCCTGAGGTGTTGAGCAATGAGCTCCATCGTGCAACAGAGTGGTACATTTTCAGGTACAGGCATATCTATCCTCTGATTTTTTTTTCTTTATCTTTTGGAAGGGATGGATTGATTACCAGAGGATGATGAGGTCGAAGAGGGTGGCCTGTTGATGAGGTCCTCGGCGGAGCGCGCGGGCATGGGCGGGGGCGGAGGAGGTGTTGGCG